CCCAACCCGCAAGATCTCTGCAGGCAACTTACCTCTCAACCCGTTGTCACGAAGCGTAATCGCGACCACACGATCACCCTCCGTAGTCACTCCGTACCACTCCCCGAACGGAGTATCGCTCAACCAACCGTCATTCCGGACCCAGCTCTCACCCCCCAGATCGCGGTACAAAGCAGATAACGCGATCTCTTCCGGCGACGGAGGCACCGGCGTAGACGTCGCCGTTGGCACTGTAGTCGCCGTCGGTTCTGGTGTGGTCGTTGGTACTGGGGTCGCAGTCGGTTCGACGGTAGCCGTGGCCGTCGGCGGAATCGGTGTTGCCGTCGGTTCGGGGAATGGCGTCGCCGACGGTTCTGGCATCTTCGTCGGCTCAACCGTTTGCAAAACCTGGACCTCGGGACAGCACTGAAGTTGCCGTCAATATCGGTCCGGCGTTGGCGTTGCCGGGTCAGAGCCCGTACAAGCAGACGCGAACACCATTACCGCTAGCGCCAAAAATCCTATGGTTGAACGAACGACCCGCGAAAACACCAGATCTATATCCTTATCCTTCCCAACTCCGTCCAATCGGCAGCATTACGGTGACATCGCACCCTGATACTCCTTTGCACCCTATCGTATACCTCAACATTCTCAGCTTTCGCGCCACGTCATGACACCGACTGGCGGCCTTCGAAAACAACCCAGATTCGACCAACCTGCCAATCGACGAAACGGGCAACGGACCGCTTCGCCCGTGCGTACACAAATGCCAACCACCTTCACGCACAACCCACCCCGAATAACCGACATCCAACTACCCCACGCCAAGAACCAACCCAAAAGCATCCGTTGATTTTCAAGACTGGATGCGGCGCGGGAACGGGGCGACGCCTCGCCTCACGTTTCCTCTTCTGCAGGGACACCGCACCTAACCGAGGAACACCATGGGTCCCGGGTGAAGGAGCAGTATCTCCCCCGGCGCCCCAGCGAGGGCGCCACACCCTAACCGACCAACACAACAAAAAATCTGCCGCCACCACCCGAACAGACCGATTAAACGCGTCAAAAACAACACCGAATTCATACATATCATCTCCAACCCAAATCAACGACCCCGCCTCATGCTCAGACCACAACATGAAAACACCCCAAGTTACTCCGCTGATGCTCGATCGCACCGTGCTCTGCGGATCGACACCGATGCCGGCATTCGGCATCGCGATCTGGTGCATGGGGATTCCTCGATCTCGAAGCCGCCATCGAGAAGTTCGGACCGCTACGCGCGCGACATCGACACCAGGCAATATCAACGCTCTCCCAAGAGAAGCTGCGACTACTACGTACTGCCAGGTGCACCCCAATGTACACGTTCTACTACACGTAACTCGACGACCCCTCCTATCACCACTGCTCAATTACCTCGCTCCGCTCTCTCCACTTCGGGGCTTGCCGTCATGGCGCCCTAAGCGCCATCGACATCGCACTGTGGGACATCATGGGCAAACACTTCGACACCCCGGTCCACCAGCTGCTAGGTGGCAAAGTCCGCGACCGTGCGCGTGTCTACTACCACGTCTTCGGCGATACCACCGAGAAACTCGTCACCGGCATCGCCGAAGCCAAGGAGATGGGCTTCACCGCCGTTGGACACCTCACACCGTTCCTCGACGAAGATCGCGACGTTCCCTATTTCAAGACCCACGCCGAGAAGATCCGCGACGCCATCGAAACCGTCCGCAAATATCGCGAGACCGTCGGCGACTCCGTCGATCTCTGCATCGAGATACACCGCCGCCTCACCCCCGCCGAAGCAGTCCAACTCGGACTCGGCATCGAAGAGTTCCACCCCTACTTCTACGAAGACCCGATAACCCCTGACAACTTCGACGAAATGGCCTACGTCGCCGACAAGATCAACATCCCCATCGCTACCGGCGAACGCTACACGTCGTTGTGGGAGTTTCAGATGGCCCTTTCCGGTGCGCAGTCCAGTACGTCCGGCCCGACGTATGTCTAGTAGGGGGCATATCAGGAGCCAAAAAGATCGCCGCATTAGCCGAAGCCCATCACGTAGGCGTAGTACCGCACAACCCTCTCTCACCGGTGAGCACTGCCGCCTGTCTGCAGATCGCCGCAACCGCGCCGAACTTCGCCCTCCAGGAGTACCCCATCGGCGAAGACGTCCCGCCCAAATCCGACATGGTCGAAAATACGCCCCAACACGACGGTAACGGTTACCTCATCATCTCGGATCGACCCGGCATCGGCATCGAGCTCAAATCCGGCGCCGTCGAGAACTGCCCGCCATCGCCGCGCGAAGTCGAAACTCGCCTCCACTTCGACGGATCTGTCATCGACCAATGAGTTCCCCCAAAGCAACCATCGCGCAACCGCCACGAACTACCGCCACCAAAATAAAATTTTCCACCCATGTTTGATATATTTGCATCACACGGGAGCGAACCCCGAGGTTGAACTGAACAGTTGAACCCCCGGTTTAGACCCGTCATCAAGGAATACTTGCACGAAAGGAAATCGACATAGCAAGGAACTATCGCATCAACCATCGGATCCGCGCACCAGAAGTGCTCTTGGTGCAGCGTACGAGCAATGGTGCAACCTCATCCACCGCGATGCAGCGTAACGAGGCACTTAACCTCGCACAAGAAGCCGGACTTGACCTCGTCGAGGTCGGTCCCGATCAGAATCCGCCGGTCGTCCGCATGATGGACTACGGCAAATTTAAGTTCGATCAATCCAAACGGGCCAAGGAGGCTCGAAAAGCATCTAGGGCGACCAGCGAACTGAAGAAGGTCCGCCTGACCCCGAAAATTGCCGAGAACGACATCCAACAAAAAACCAAGCGAGTCCTCGGATTCCTTCAAGACGGCGCCAAAGTCCAAGTCTTTGTCCGATTCCGCGGGCGCGAACAAGCGCATCCAGAGATCGCAATGGATGTCTTGCGGCGCGTCGCCACAGGCGTTGCCGAATACGCTCGATTGGAACAGAAACCGGTCATGGAAGGCCGCATGCTGAGCATGATGCTCGCACCGAGAGCCGGCATCAGCCGTCCCGCCAGCAAAGCGGTCGCTGTGGAACCACGGCACCGCAATCGGCGCCGAAACGGAGAGTCGACCGAGTCTGCCGAAACCGAAACCAGAGAACCGGTCGCACAATCCGTCTGATTTCGGACCTCAACGTTTCGAAATCTTCCACCCGAGATCGGTAAAGCGCGCCCACGTGCAACTCACGCGGGCGCGTATTGCATAATTGAAAAATGCCTAAGCTGAAAACCCACAAAGGCGCTAAGAAGCGCTTCCACATCACCGGCACTGGCAAGCTGATGCGGACCAAAGGCCCCAAGAGCCACTTCCGAATGCGCAAATCTAAGCGCATGAAGCGGTTGCTCGGCGGAAAAGTCGGCATCGATTCACCAGTCATGGCCAAGTCCATCAAACAATCCCTTGTAGGCTCATCCCGCTAGAGAACGCAGGGATCGAGTTCAGAGGTCCATCGTGCCCCGAGTCAAAGCAGGAACCACCCGACGAGCACGGCATAAGGCCGTACTCGCCACCACCAAAGGCCACCGAGCAGCACGTAGCAGCCGATACCGCGTCGCCAAAGAGTCGATGCTTCACGCGCTCGACTACGCCACGCGTCACCGCAAGCTTAAGAAGCGCCAGAACCGTGCCCTCGCCATCACGCGCATCAACGCCGCCGCTCGCGAGCACGGGTTGAGTTACTCATCCCTGATCAACGGACTCAAAAAGGCCGAGATTACCCTCGACCGAAAATCGTTGGCCGATCTATCCATCCGCCAACCCTCGGCATTCGCCAAAGTGGTCGCTTCCGCCAAAGCGGAACTCTAGCGTCCGCTGTCGCTGACCAAAGCGACTGTCAGCGCGCCAAATGGCGGTCCAAGAACGCCGTTACCCTCGTTACGTACCCTGACGGATCGGTTCGAAAAGCCTGTGCGTGACCCGCGTCCGGCGCGATCCATCAACCTTCGCAGTCCCCGCCGTCGATCTCGGATTGGCTGATGCCCAACGCCTTCGCCAACCGTTCTGCGTGAACGACTGGCACATAGTCGTCAAGCGCTCCGTGGATCACGAACATCGGCGTATCAAACTCCGAGACATGCTGCTCCGGCGATACCTCGCCCAAGCGATAACCCACCAGCATCTGCAGCATCAAGTCCATTCCCGGGCGCATCAGCTCGGCAACCCAGGCCTTCATCCCGGATCGGTGTTTGACGATTGACCAGAAATCGCTGTACGCGCTATCGGCGATGACCGCACCGGCGACTCCCGGGTTGGCGCACGCTAACGAAGCAGCCACGCCGCCGAGCGAAAATCCCAACACCCCGATCCGTGTCCGATCCGCGCCCAGCCCCACCAGATAGTCCAAAGCCCCTAGAACATCGAGCCGCTCAGTCCAACCGCCGGTGAAATCTCCATCCGCCGACTGCCCGCATCCACGCAAGTCGAACATCAATACACCGTAGCCCTGCTCCCACATCGCCTTGGCCAGACCCATAGCCCCGGCCTGCGGATCGGAGCGGTTAGACTCGTCACCGTGAACCATCACCAGCCACCTCGAATCGCGATCGACCGGCGTCGTCTCGGAACCCGGTGGCAATACCAGCCATCCCATGAGTTCATGTTCAGGGTCCGCATAGTCGCGCCGACTGTTGAACGAAACCTCCATGTACGGCAACCCGACGGATGACGGATCATCGCGCAGCGGCGCGCGGCGCGGACGGCGCGACAAGCGCAATGCGAACGCCACCGAAGCGCCGAGATACGCCGACGCCATCGCTGCAGTCACGATCGCAGCTCGATTGAACAAGGTCACTGTCCTTCTCCTGACACTTCTGGGACGCTGGACCTAAACCGTCGCCGCATCAAACATCAGCGCCACAAACAACAGGAACAGGTACAGCAGCGAAAATTTATACAAGTTAACCGTATCTTTGCGCTCGCCAGACCGCCACAACTTAAACGCCAGCCCAAAGAAAACCAGACCCAGCACCACTGCCGACACGAGATACACGACCCCCAGTTTCGACGTTGCAAAGTAATACATCACCGTAAGCGGCAACATCAAAACGGTGTACAACAGGATCTGAACCCGCGTCGCGGCCTCGCCGGATACGACCGGCATCATCGGCACGCCAGCGCGCGCATAGTCTTCTTTAATCAGCAACGACAACGCCCAGAAGTGCGGCGGAGTCCAGAAAAACACGACCGCGAAGAGGTACCACGCCTCGAGTTCGAGCACTCCGAGAATCGCCGCGTAACCTACCAGCGGAGGCATCGCGCCCGCGGCCCCTCCGATAACGATGTTCTGTGTCGTCGTCCGCTTCAACAGCGCGGTGTAGAGCACCACGTAGAGCGCCGATCCCGCGATCGCCAGTGACGCCGCAAGGACGTTGGCGAAAGGTAGAAAACCGCGAACGAAGCAATGTTCACGCCACCCCGAATATCAGCGCGTTCATCGGTTTATCCGACCGCCGGCCACCGGACGATGGTCGGTTCTATGCATCTCTTGGTCGATATCCTCCTCGTACCACATGTTCAACGCGCTCGCGCCGCCCGACGCGAGTGCTCCGCCGACGAGCACCACCACGATGTACTGCCACGGCGGGACGCCACGCGCGGCGATGAACGATCCCCCCAATGCCGTGAACAGCAGCAACGACATCACTCGCGGCTTGGTCAAGATCAAGTAGTCCAACAAAGTGCGCGACGTCGCCCGGATCCAAGGCTGACTCTTGGCGGTCGTTTCCGTCACGCGGCAACCTCGGTCATGGGTGTGCTTGGAAGTTGATCGCCTCGAATTTCGTTGGCGCGACTCCGACGTGCAACTGGTAGCAGAATCAGCAACGTCAAAAGGCACATCCCAACCCACTGCAGCGAAGCGAATGTCAGGTGCGAGACCCGTGCCCAGACCTCAAAACCGGTCCAAGGGTTGGCGGCGCCGAGCAGCACTTGACGACAATAATCACCGATAACGCGATACCCAAGATGCGCAACACTCGCGCCGATGATCCTGGAACGTCGGAGCTGGAAACGTCTTTGACCTTCATTGCCATATGCGCGGCACCCATCGCCGGAAACACCGATAGCAGGGCCAACAACCGATGCGAAACGTGGATCCAGACCAGCTCGTACTGAGGGATGATCGACCCGCCGCACAACGGCCACGACGGGCACACTGCGCCGGCTCCCCGCCACACCGCGTACGAACCCGACAACAGCGCGATCAACGTCATCGCCGATCCGGCGAGCGCCATCAACATCAAACCTCTCCGCATCCTCGTCTCTTCACCGCTCGAACTGACGTAAACCGAAGCGACCAACGCATGCGCCATCAACAGCAACACGCTCTCTGCCAGCATCAGGTGAACCGTTCGCAATCCGGGATCGAGTTCACTCAACACAACCGCGCCGCCGATTCCGCCCGTAATTGTCACCGCCACCAAGCCGGTCGTGGCTGATGTCACGACCGGCGTTTCAGAGCGGTGTCTGAACCAAACCCGCAACACGGCGGCGATGATCGTCACCCCCACCAAGACGCCGATCGTGCGATGGCTGTACTCCATCAAGGCGTGATACTCGAAGGGCGGTATCCAGTTGCCGAAACACGTCGGCCAATCCGGACACCCGTCACCAGATCCGGTTACCCTAACCGCGCTACCCATGGTGATCTGAATCAACGCACCGACGACACACGCAACCAGCAAAACCAAAAGCACGCGATCGCGCCAGATCTCGCCACCGTGTCGGCGGAATTCAGAACCCGCCTTCATGCGCGCTCCTGCAACAACCAACAGCTAGACGTGCGTCGGCAAGGTAATCTCATACAACATATTCCGTACACCGGCGGGTAGAGACTCTAGGCTTGTGACAGCGGCTTAACCGCGATCAAGACTGCGGAGACCACGATGCGATGGTCGTAAACTCGGAACGGCCAGCAAGTAACCAGCGAGATTTGTGAACTATCGGACTGCGCAAGATAGAGTTCGTCGCGATGGAGCTGTCGCGTTGCGGTCACTCGATACATAAACTCCGCATCGGACGTTTCGAGGAAGATGTCAACATAGTCGTCCTTGACCATCGCGGAGATTTCTGGCAAGCGCCGGAAGATGGCTCCTTCGTTGCTCAAAAAGTCGTCGAGATGCCCGAAGTACCAGCCGTTCGCCGATTCGCCGGGTTGCGCCGTCGTCGGAATGTGCCCGACGACCTTGTCCGGAGTCGACCACGCCCGCGAATCTCCCAAATCCCGGAGTTCCAACTCCGCCACCGAAGCATCTAGATCGATCGCCGGAATGCGCATCCGCACCGCTTGTTCACCAGTCGTCGACGCGAACGAGAGGTCTGAAGCGTCGATAGCAACAAATCCCTCGGGAATCGTCGGGCCCCCGAACGGCAGGTTTCCGGCCCAATGCGGCTCCGACCAATATCGAGGGTTCATATCGCCGCCAGGATAGATCGACGCAAACGTGTCAAGCATGCCAGCCGTAGACATCGAAGTAGGTGGTGCAACGGAATCTGAACGGACCGCGTCCGCCGCGACGTCGCGATCAGCAAACGCTGCAGGTACATCGTCAGTTGATACCACCCCAACTTCATCCCCAGCATTCGCGAGTTTCGCCTTCGCACCTTCCGATTCGACGACTTCATTCTCCGACGCGAACGCTGCGCCCGGAAGGCGAGATGAAATCGAAACCGTCTCCGCGCCGTCTATTTCGGCGACCAGTCGCCGGTCGTCGAGTTCAACTGCCTCACCCCGCGTTGCGACCAACTCATCAACATCGTCAGACCGTTGATCAAGGATCGATTGCGTCTCGAAATCGAACGGGTACGCGTATCAGTCTTGCGGTCAGAATCGTACGCCGGAACTACGCGCGCGGCAGGTTTATCCTGCGCAACGGGATCCGGCAACCCCAATCCGAGCAGCGCACGCATTTGCTCCGGCTCGGCCGCGTCAACGTTGAACGTGGCGGAATCCGAACCGGAGCGCGCGTACTCGAACAGGTAGTATCCCGAAATCGCAATCATCGCGATCCCGACAACAGCCATTGCGATGCCCAACGGCTTCGCAAATTTCGAGATCCGTTTCATTTCGCTTTCACGACGAACTAACCGAGACGCCCGTCGGGATGCGAAACGTCACGTCAGCGTCCTCTAGGCCCCTCGAAAATCGGTTCATTGAGGTGTATATCGCCATTGCGAATCTTAATGTTGTAGTCGCAATTGGGGCTGGTGCAGACCCAAGCTTTATAGTGAACGGATGCACCTTGGCCGCCGAAATCTGACAACGGCACCAGTACGCCCTGCTCGCATGCCAGACACTCTGGCCATGAACTCATCGCTTCCAAAACGTCCTAACCTCCGCCGACGCTGCTTCTCATCATCACCCGGCGCGAAGGCTATCTTCACCCCGTCGCTCAGGCCCGCAGTCACCTGCCGAGACAGGTTCCTATGCGCGGATTCCATTTCCCACCATTCTAGCACCCTGACAAATCTACGTGCAATAACCACCATCGAATTTCTCAGTCGTTTATGTTGTTCGTGCCCGTCCAATTCAACCACGAGATAGTTGCAAATCTCCGACACAGAACTTTCCTGAAGCATGTTTCTTGGATACGCTTGAAATAACGTGGCATCGTCGGCCCTGAATCGCTTAACCACGAACGTGTCGAGCCCCAAACTCGCATCCTTTGTTGAAATCATTCTGACGTGATACTAGGTATCGAAACATCTTGCGACGAGACCGCCGCCGGCATCGTCGATTCGGCCGGCAGGCTGCACGCCAATGTCGTCGCCAGCCAAGCCGACATCCATGCTCGCTACGGCGGCATCGTACCTGAAGTCGCCTCGCGTCAACACATCCGAGACATCTCGCCCGTCGTCCAAGCGGCTCTCGAAGACGCCCGGCTCGATTGGGGCGATCTAGACGCCATCGCGGTCACCAACGGGCCGGGTCTCGCCGGGTCGCTAATGGTCGGTGTCAACTACGCAAAAGGCGCGGCTGCCGCCACGCACAAACCGCTCGTCGGCGTCAATCATCTCGTCGGTCACGTCATGGCGGCATTCGTCCGCCAGCCGAGCGACCCGAACAACAAACCCGGCGAAAACTCCGAAATGATCGACACCCATCTCCCGTTCGCCGAGGCGTTGCACCGGATCGGCGACGCACCGGCAGATGTGCCTGATAGTGTCAGGCGGCCATACCGAACTCGTGCTCGCGAAGCGACGCGGTTCATCGTTAGATTTCCGGCTCGTCGGCGAGACGCGCGACGATGCTGCCGGCGAAGCGTTCGACAAGGTGGCTCGCGCCATCGGTCTGCCTTATCCGGGCGGCCCGGCGATCCAAAAGGCGGCCGAACATGCCGACGACGAAGTCGTGCCGTTGCCCCGCGCCTGGATCCGCGGCACACACGAATTCTCCTTCAGCGGGTTGAAGACCGCGGTGCTCAATCGCGCTCGCGCAGAAGGCATTAACCCGCGCTCCGAATCCGCTCCCGCTACCGACGAAAAGAAGGTGGCGAACATCGCCAAAGCATTCCAAGACTCTGTAGTTGACGTGCTCGTCACGAAGACGATCAAAGCGGCGAGCGAATTCGAATGTTCGACCATCGTCCTCGTCGGTGGTGTGGCTGCGAACCGGCCATTACGAGAAACGATGCATACGCAATCACCTCTACCCGTCGTCACTCCGTCGATTCCGCTCTGCACCGACAACGGCGCAATGATCGCGCGCGCCGGCTTGGACCGTTACCAGAACGGTGCCCGCGACGCGTACGATTTGGACGTGATACCGTCGCTCCGCATCGGCTGACCGCGCGGCACATCCCATTCCGTATCTGTTTGTCTCCCGTTTGCGCGACCGTCAGCACAACCAAAACGGGCACCGACGATCAGCTGGGGGTCAGAATCTCCAACTTCGAGATAACCTGCGCCGCGAAACGGTCAGCTTCCTCGGAGTGCGATTGTCCGAAATCGATGGCCAACTCGGTACCCGAACGCGAGCTCAAGGAGACGACCAAGTCAGGGGGCCTTAGAAAATAGTCAGCCAACAGCACCAAGCTCATCAACACAACGGCGGCAGCAATGAACAGTCGCAGGTTTCCCACGCCGTCCAGAGCCTGCCACATACCGATCGCGGCGCCGAAGCCAATCAGCCCCCAAGCCAAAGAGCGACGTTTCGCATGGCCCCTCTCAATCCTCACCGCGTCGATATCCGTCAACCGCATCGAGGCGTGCAGGATTTTCGCATCCGGAGAGCCACGCAGCAATACGCGATGCTCGGTCAGCACAACCTCCGAGCCTCCCCGGCCGTGCGTCAACCCCGAATAGAGCGAAGATTCGCCAGGCAGCAAGTCGGACACGCTCAATATCGCCGGTTCTTCATCGCCCCCATTCGCCAACGACGGCGAAACGGCGCCTGCAGCCTGCGTCGATCGAACCGGTTGAAAGGATTGGGATGCAGGGGGCGGAGCGACCGTTTTCTTTGGGTGTTCGACTTCGGGTTCAGTCCCAGCATCTGCTGCATCGACGCCGACAACGCCGACACTCGAAGAAGACGCTGCGCCCGGTTCTAGCAACAGATGAGAAGGCCGATCCGAACATGTGCAAACCTCGGCGTCAGTGACGCAATCGACGACCCGGCGTCGATCGACGCCGATGCCAATTCCTCTGCGACCGATTTCACCAGGTCTCTGCCGACCAAGTGCGCCGGCAGATCCGAACACGTGCAGAATCTCGAGAATTGCGGCCCTTGGTTCACGACGACAACGCCCGGCAACCCAAACGTATCTGGCGTGGTGCCCGCGGCCGCAGAAGCATCGACTTGTATACATGCATCACGCCGAACTGCCGACGCGCTCCGCGGATGTTGCCTAATCGCACGCCGCGCCGCACCAGAACTCGCACCGCCTCTTTCAAAACCGAGTTCGAAGGCAGCGCCGGATGCGTTCGATAGAGACGCATCGCTTCCGAGTACATCGCGCCGTCCCGTCCAAGCTCCGCCCAAGCAACTATCGTGGGTAATACCGCGTTGATCACGATCTCGCCTGCGCGCCCCGCACCGATCGCGCCGCCAGCAAAACTGTACGCGTCCCGCACTCGAGCACCTGAAGCCGCGCCGCGGAACGCTGCCGCTGCGTGCCGCATTGGACCCCCAAATCGCCACCACTCGGCAACGATAAACGCGGCCGCATTCACGCGCGCCTCCGGCCGATTAGCCGGCCGACTCGCGGTGGCGGTCCATTTCGGAACCTCCCCGGCCAGCATCGGAACCGGCACCCAGTCCGGCTTTTGCCGAATCCGGCGGCCCAGCGCAACAGCGCGGTTGCCCGAGCGACTCCGTTGCCAGACGTCGCATCGCAACCCGCAACTACTGACGCAAGGAACGCCCACGGCAGTCGTTTCGCCAAGTGCCGAAACGCAACCCGATTTCGCGGATATCCGAGGCCCTCAAATATCGCCATCTGCAACGCTAAGTCAGGCCCGAACTTCTCGATATCGATTCGCTGGCTCCTGACCTTGAGCGCGAATCGCTCGTCGCCCGCCGCGTCAAGCCACTCTTCGACGGATTCGGGCTCCGCAACGTCTCTTCCACGGCAATCCGCAACTTCAAACGCCGATTCGACGGCATGATCTAACAACGGGTCGATCGCGGCCTCCGGAACCACCATCCCGAGCGAATTGACTGTGTTTGACGGGATGTCATCACGCGCGTCTGGACGCGCCGATAAAGATTCGCCTGCTCCATCGTCGATTCCGCCGTCGATTCCATTGCCCACCACATGAAACACCACGCGCCCGTATCGGGCATCGCCATTGTGACCATGGGCGTACCAGTCTGACACTTCACGATGAATCTCGACATCGCCTTGCAGTTCAGATCCGTCCTCTGCCTGTAACACCGCGTCCCTAAAATCGGGTCCTAACGACCCTCCCGGCATCCCCGAGTAGAGCACCCGATAACGATCGCCGTAAGTCGTAGCAACCGTGGCGCGCCGGGCATCGGCTCGTCGCCAAACCTCGTGCAATGCTTTTTCTGGCAAGCAGATACCCATATCACGCAAAGTTTATCGCAACTCCCATTAGCGAATTTTCGACCCCCATTTCCAGCCATGGTTCGTCAGCGTGGTTGGTATCCTTTGCAGATGAACTCGATACCAATGACAAGAACACTCATCAGCCGGAGTAGATGATGCCAGCAGTTACCGGAATCCAATTCCACCAATTTTCGGCGAAACACCATAACGCCGATCGCAACTGGCTAGTTGTCCAATTGAACACCGATCAGCCGGGACTATACGGCTTGGGAGACGCCAGCCCGATGGAGGCCGACGACGCCGTCATGCTCCTCGCCACCCACCTCGTCGAGAAGTGGGTCGCTGGGCGCGACCCCCTCGACTCCGAGGCGATCTGGACCGATATGTATCACAACGCCCCTGGCAAGCGTGGCCGACTCGCCATGACCGCCATCAGCGGCATCGACATCGCGCTGTGGGACCTCAAGGGCAAAATCCTCGACCGCCCAGTCTATCAACTATTGGGAGGATCCCAAAGAGAAAGAATCCGCGTCTACGCCAACGGTTGGTACGCCAACCCCGGCACTCCCGAACAAAACGCTGAAGAGTCGAAAGTCGTCGTCGACATGGGCTACACCGCGATGAAGTTCGACCCCTTTGCCCAGACCAACTACTACAAGATCTCCGAACGCGAGGCCGCGATCGCCGAAGCCCGTGTCGCCGCCGTCCGCGCGGCTGTCGGCGACGAAGTAGACATCCTCGTCGAAGCTCACGCCAAGTTCGATGTGATGAACGCCATTAAACTCGGCAATCGGCTAGAAAAGTACCACCCGCTCTTCTACGAAGAACCCGTCTCCGAAGAACGCGTCTGCGAGCTCCTCGAAGTTCGGCGCAAAGTCGGCATTCCGATCGCCACCGGCGAACGCCTCTACACCAAGTTCCCCTTCGCCGACATCATTGACGCCCATGCCGTCGACGTTTTGCAGCCCGACATCGCCAATGCCGGGGGCATCACCGAGCTCAAAAAGATCGCCATCATGGCCGAGGCCAAGCACATCACGATGGCCCCGCATAACGTCTGCTCCCCCATCGGCGCCATCGCCGAGATGCACCTCGACGCGTCAATCGTCAACTTCGAGATCCAGGAGTATCACGCCGAGTTCTACTCCCCCTGGTACTTCACCGTCTGTCCCGGCCTGCCCCAGCAACAAGACGGCTACGTAACCCTGAGCGACGCGCCCGGACTCGGCATCGATCTAGACCTTGACGAGATCGCCGCTCACCCACCCTTCAAACGACCCACCGCCCGCGGAGGCACGAATCGCCGCATCTGATCGCGACCATCGCAACGCACACCAACCGAACCGTTGCTAGAATTCACCCCATCGAAAGTAGATCAAGCACAAACCCCCAACCGAAAGTGAATCGAGCGGAAGCTCCCTCAAGGAGAAACTGGACATGATTGAAAACACCATCCTCAAAGCCAACCGTGAAGGCCGCTACGCCCTTGTCTTCACGCTTCCGTTCCCGTCGTCTCAACTCATCGAACTCGCCGCTCACGTCGGCTTCGACGCGATTAGCATCGACGGCGAACACGGCGCGTATTCCGTCGAGAGCGTCGACGACATATGCCGCCTCTCCAACGCCCTCGGCATGTCCGTCACCGCGCGCGTTCCCGACAATGCCGCCTATCAGGTCAACCTCTATCTCGATCGCGGCATCCAAGGTGTGACCGGGCCCCACGTCGAGACCGGCGGCGAGGCGCAGGCCCTCGCCGACGCCTGCCTCTTCCCCGAAGCGGGCTGGCGCTCGTGGGGCGGTGGACGCGGCACCGAGTTTAACGACCCGGAGAAGATCGAAGAGTACGGCGGTCAACGGGCATTCATGAAGTGGGCCAACGAAAACATGATCGTCATGGCGCAGATCGAATCGAAGAAGGCGCACGACAATCTCGACGACATCCTCGCCGTACCCGGCCTCACCGGCGTCGCGGGCGGTCCGAACGACTTCGCCGCCAGCATGGGCATCGCCGGCCAGCCGATGCACCCGGACCGAGTCGAAGCGACCGCGGACGTAGAGCGACGAGCCCTCGCCGCCGGCAAATCGATCGGCGCCACAACCTTTTCGATCGGCGTGCGCGAGTTCATGCTCGGGCAAGCCCGCGAATTCTGTCAAGAGAACGGCAAAAAACCCTTCAAATCCTGAACCCACGCGCAATTCAACGAGCCGATGACCCGCCGCGGCTAGAACCGCGCCGGCCTCGACCGACGTATCAGAAGGCACAAGAAGTCGGGACTCCCGATTTACCGTGATTTAGAATCCAAGCTGTGAGAATCCGAAACTCATTGGTCTACGTGTTGATCGCCGTGGCGGCGATCGCTTTGATACTGCTATTGTTCCGCACCGGCGACGGTTCGGAGACCATCCCATTCAACCGCGTCGTCGAGATGGCTCGCGACAACACCGGACCGGCACTGAGCATCGAAGTTAACGGCGATACCGTCAAGATCGACAACGGCTCGCAGGTCTTTTCGTCCCGCAAAGAGACGTCTACTAGCGTCTTCGAAGCACTTTCGGACGCCGGAGCCGATCTCAACAACTATCGTCTCGACGTCCGCGGCCAGAGCGGCCTCGCAACCCTTTTGCAGGCGCTTATCGGCTTCCTCCCACTCATCCTCTTCGCCGGACTCCTGATCTTCATGCTGCGACAGGCCCAGGCCGGCAACAGCCAGACGATGAACTTTGGTCGCACCCGCGCCCGGATGTTCGTCGGCGCCAAGGCCACCGTCACCTTCTTCGACGTCGCTGGCGTGCCCGAAGCAAAGGAAGAGCTCGAAGAGGTTGTTGAGTTCCTCAAGTTCCCCGAACGCTTCCAAGCCCTCGGCGCTCGTATTCCGAGCGGCGTCCTGCTCATCGGCCCACCCGGCACCGGCAAGACGCTTCTCGCCCGCGCCGTCGCTGGCGAAGCCGGGGTGCCCTTCTTCTCGATCTCCGGTTCCGAGTTCGTAGAGATGTTCGTCGGCGTTGGCGCCTCCCGCGTGCGCGACCTCTTCCAGCAGGCGAAGCGGCACGCGCCCTGCATCATCTTCGTCGACGAGATCGACGCCGTAGGCAGGCACCGTGGAGCCGGTCTCGGCGGCGGTCACGACGAACGCGAGCAGACGCTCAACCAGATCCTCGTCGAGATGGACGGATTCGAAACCCACTCTTCGGTCATCGTCATCGCCGCAACCAACCGGCCCGACATCCTTGACCCGGCGCTGCTCCGGCCCGGCCGTTTCGACCGCCGCGTCACCCTGGACAAGCCCGATATCCGCGGGCGCACCGCCATTCTCGATGTCCACGCCAAGGGCAAACCTTTCGATAAGGGCGTTGAGATGCAAACCGTCGCCAAGCAGACGCCCGGCTTCTCCGGTGCCGATCTCGCCAACCTGATCAACGAATCTGCGCTCCTCGCCGCCCGGAAAAACAAGAAGTCGATCGGCCTCGATGAACTCTTGGAATCGATCGACCGCGTCTCCATCGGTCCGGCACGCAAGAGCAAGGTCATCACCGAAGACGAACGTCAGTTGACTGCATTCCATGAGGCCGGACACGCCGTAGTGCCTTACTTCATGCCGGAAGGCGACCGCGTCGGTAAGATATCGATCATTGCCCGCGGCCACGCCGGCGGCTTCACGCGTTGGGAGCAGGAAGACAAGTCCTACCTCACGAAGCCGTACCTGCTGTCGCGCATCGCCGGTGCCATGGGCGGACGCGCCGCCGAAGAACTGAAACTCGGCAAGATAACCACTGGAGCTTCAAACGACTTTGAACAGGCGACCCGTATCGCCCGCGAAATGATCATGCGCTACGGCATGAGCGACGAACTCACTTACCGCTCCTTCGGCAAGCGCCAAGAAGCTATCTTCCTCGGCCGCGAGATTTCGGAGGAGCGCGACTACAGCTTGAAGACAGAAGCGATTATCGACCGTGAGATCGATCGTTTGCTGCGCGAAGGCGTGCAAACCGCAAAGGACCTTCTCACCGAGCACGACGACAAGTTGGTAGCCGTTTCCAATTATCTCCTCGAAAACGAGACCATCGACGCTGATCAGTTCGAAGCCATCATGGAAGGCCGCGATCCGAGCGAGTTCCGCAGTGAATCTTCCGGTGTTGAAGGCGGTGGTCCGGGTTCGGAAAACCAAGTTGCCGAAGACGTCGAAACCGTCGGTCAGGCCGAAGGCTCCTCCGCCATCGATCCGTCGCCCGCGGCGTAACTGATCCCTTCTCTGGGCACCCTCGGAACAAGTGCCTTTTGCACACCCGTTCGGATTGCCAATATAATGTCGTATTGTGCGTCGGCATAGGATTGGTTTGTCGGCGTTCGTTACGTTGATCGGCGTTTCCGATCACGGGATTCAATTTTGACGATCGAAGCCACACAACGGCGCGACGGCGCGATTCTAGTGCTCCTCCCCAAAGGGCGGATCGAGGCCCCTGACACCGAAGAGTTTGAACGGTCTGTTCGGGAACGCATCCTCAACGGTGATTTGAACATCATCATCGACTTCGCACAAGTCGAGTCGATCGACTCCGCCGGCATCCGTTCATTGCTCAGCATCGCCGCACGCGTCGTCGTTAAACACGGGAAATTGGTGCTCTGCGGTCTGGGTAACAACCTCGGAACCCTGTTCAGGGTCACCGCCATCGACCAAGTCGTTCAAATCGTTGATTCCTACGAAGAGGCTGTCGAATCCTTCCGCTAGAATCGGTGCGATAGCGCGTTTAACGGAGGTCAACAACCACGATGGCAATTGAATACCAAGGCGAACTCTGGACCATCCAGCGGTGGGTCTCAGGCTTCTATAACAACGCCTACCTCATCACCTGCCGAGCCTCAAACAAAAGCGTCATTATTGACACTCCTGACCAGCCCAACGAACTGGTCGCCGCCGCCGGCAACACCGATGTCCAAGCGATCCTGATAACCCACAATCATTGGGACCACCTCGAGGGATTCGATGTCGTGACCGACCGTTTCGACGCTCCCGTCGGCATCGGAGCCGACGACGCCCACGCGGTAGCCGAAAAAAGCGGATACCGCGATCCGATCGATGTTTCGCAAGACAACGTTCTCCAGGTCGGCGACATCGCGATTCGGTGCATTGCAACCCCAGGGCACACCCCAGGCTCCACTTCCTACGTGCTGCCCGGCG